CGCGGGGCCGGACTTCGCCTCCAGAGAGGGTGGAAGGGAGCCAGATCAGCAAGGTGTTGGTGATCGGGCCTCCCCGCGACCTCCACCCACACTCTGCCGCCACCCACCACCAAGGGCCGCGTCCTGGGCGCGGGAGCCCGCTTTGGTCGCGGTTGCCATCTGCTACTCAGTACAGGTGGGGCTCTCGGGGCATGGTCCTCACCTGTGCCTGACATTGTTTGTCTAGGCCCTCTGGCAAGACCCCCACAACCCCACAGCCCTGCCAAGAAGCTGGGTGTGTGACTCAGCCTAGCAACCCCCCCCCCCACAACACACACCCCTTCAAGATGACAGACTCTGAATCTTAAGATCCTCCTAGCTCTGCCTCCTCCTGGTGAGGAGACCTTAGTGTGAAGATCTGGAGTTTGCCTCCTCACCTGGATTGACCAGGACTGTCTCCCCTTCTCCCCCCAACACACACACACACGCACACACACAGTGCCTCTAACTGTGGGGAACAAAACTTCTAAGAAGGGACCAGAAGCATGGCACTGGCAGAAACCCAATGGCAGATCAGCAGGTTAGTAGCCAGGAAACTTTACCCAGAGAGGCTGCCGCTGGAAGGTGTGTGCAGGGGTTGGATGGGGCTGGGGTTGGGTACAAAGCGCCACCCAAAAAGGCTGTGACTGTCTAAACCCAGGGAAGATGGCCACAGCAGAAGCCCAGCCCTCCAAACTCTTGGATTGTTTTCGTACTTGGGAAATGGAGGAGAGGGATTAGATCATCCCAAAGTCCCTTCTAGCTCCGGCCCTCCACGATGGAGTTATTTTCACAAGTGGTCAGGCCTCAAAGCCACAAGGCAGGAAATACACGGGAATTCCAGCGGTCTTCACAGGCAGTAGAAAAGCTATGAATGGCTACTAAGAACTGGGTGAGCCTCCCTCACTTTCTGGGAGGTGCTGGGGAGGACGGCTGACCCCTGGAGCATAGGACACCGTTATGGCCAAAGCCCTTTGAGTTCTCAGGACAGTTAAGACCTTTCATTAAAGCTGGGCTCCCATCCGGCTGACCCATGTGATTGAGACTGGTCGCACCCCTCCCTTCCAATCTTTATCTCGTTTTGTAACAACTGTACCCCTACAGGCCGAGGCCTTGAGCAAGTAGATTCATCCCTCCCTCCCAATGCCCTTGAATCCCGAGTTCAGCCACCTCTCCAATGCCTTAGGAGCAGCTGCTTTGAGGACATAGGAGGCCAGGCTTGTTTGGTAAAAGCAAAGGCCAATGGCTGAGAGCTCCAAAGCCCAGCCACCTGTCCCTTCAGCCTCTTTCCTGTTGGAGGATTCCAGGGTTGGGTCAAGTTACTTCCCAGGGCCCTGCTGGACAGTGCTGGCAGCCTGCACTGCAGGGGTGACCAGAGCTAACTCCATCTGTGTGATGGATGGCCAAGGCTCAGCTCTCAAATAGTGTATTCTTCATTTGATGTATTACAGCAGCAAAACCACACCCAGGCTTTGTGGGAGAGGGGGGGTGTCACATCTCCCTTCTGGTGGGGGGGGGTAGAGAAACACATCAGCCTCCTACCCTTGCCAAAAACATGGCCAGGGGGGTCAAGAGAGGTCACCAGATCCTCAGCTCTGCCAGCACATTTGGTGATATGATTTGCTGAGCCCTGGGGTCCAAGGCGGAAAGGAAAAGAATGGTTCTTTCTAGCTAACGAGTCACAGAGATGCTTGTCAGATGGACCCATGTATTTGCGTGTAATTAGAACATGGCTCGGTGCCCGCCGGATGTAGCATTTAAGAAACAAGCTGAAGAGTCAGAGGGTGCTAAGGAGATGAGGTGAAAGAGAGAGGGATTGAGGTGTCAGGCAGGGTGGGGAGATGATTCTAACACTAGGAGCATGCAAACACAACGACATGCAAAGGGCCTGACTCTCCCAAGTTTGGTCGGTGAGCAGAGAAGGCTGGAGAAAGAAGTTCCAGCTTTTATCCTTGAGGCAACGGGGGCCAACTGAAGTCATTAAGAAAACTGTTGCAGGGGCAAAGGAGCTGGGGTGAAGTTCAGGGGTAGAGTGCTTGCCTAGCATTTGTGTAGACCTAAGTTGGGAGGAACCCCGCAGAAGGAGAGCGGGTAGAGGGAGGTGGATACTGCGCTAAGAAATGGAGATGGATCCCGGCTTCTCTAAGTTTGCACCACCATGGCAAGAAGGAAACTAGAACTGGGAGCATGGGATGCTGGGCGTGAGGAATGTTCCCTGCTAGCCATGCACTGAGCTCTCCAACCTACAACTCAAAGCCAAAACCCCATCTGGATGACGCTTGTGTCCCGTGCCTTGTCACCTTGCCTCAGATAGGAAACTGGGGGCTGGCCCCAGGGGACAATTAAGACTCTTGCTCTTTATAGCCTAAAGATCTCCATTGGAGGCACAGGACATTGTCAGGGTGTTGCTTTGCCTTAGGATACAGGCTGCAGAAAGCAGGGAGATCTTAGTCACCAAGATCTACGTACATCCATTTACCCTGGCTTAACTGTACTTAGGACAACAGACCCACAACAAAATAACGCTCCCTAACTCCCTGGCTCAGACAACCGGCTCGCTTCCAAACTTCATCCCCGTCCTAGCTCCCTCCCTCCCTTCTCAGACCTTCCTTAAACTCCTCCAGCTTTTCCTCAACCATTTGTGTTGGGCTCTTTGTCTCTTTCTCCAGTTTCTAGACAATCTAACCTATCATCAGACTTCTAGTTTGTCCCTCACTTAGGCTCGATGTCTGCTCCTCCAAGACACACACACACACACACACACACACACACACACACACACACACACACTCCTCTGCGTCTGAGACAAGTCATCCCAGGAATCTCAGTCCTAAGACAGATTCGCCTATAGAGGGAAAAGGTTATTTGGGTCCATGGCTTTGGAGGTTTCAGTCCACCGTAGGCTGGCTCCATTGCTCTGGGACCTGCAATTAGACAGTACATCTCATGGGGAGAAGCATATGGTAGACAAAAGCTTCTCACTAGGCACTAGTGGCTCAGGCCTGTCATCCTAGCTACTCAGGAGGCTGAGATCTGAGGATCGTGGTTCAAAGCCAACTGGGAAAGTCCGGGATCTCCAATGAACAACCAGAACACCAGAAGTGGAGCTGTGGCTCAAAGTGGTAGAGCAGTAGCCTTGAGCAGAGGAGCTCAAGGACAGCACCCAGGCCCTGAGTTCAAAACCCATGACCACCATCAACAACAAAACCAGCATCTCACCTCCTTTCAACCAGGAAGCAACAGAGAGGAAGAGGCCGGGTGTCTGCTGTCCCCTTCAAGAGCACCAACAGAGACCATTCCCAGTGGCTATGCCATCTTCCAATAGTGCCAAGGGCTGGGAACCAAGACAGTAACACACAGTCCTTTCGGAGATATTCCAGATTCAAACCAAGGCACCCCGTGTTCCTCCGTTTCCCTGGACTTTGTAAACATACTGTCTCCCACCCAGTTCCTCATCCAGAAAAACGGGGCCACGCTCATGCCCCTCCCCGAGTGGCTCTCCCCACTGCTCTTCCGACCTCTACTGCTCCTGTTCTGGGTCAAGCCTCATCTGCCTCAGTCTCCCCACCTCCACATCTATCATCTTCGTTTGGGAGTGTATTTCCCACAGCACAAATATGATTCAGGCTTTCGATGGTGACTATTTCCTGCAAGTTTAAAGCCAACATCTTGAAGTGGTCTTCAGTGTTTATGACTCTGTGTCTGCCAGCCTTTCTTGCTTTGTCTCCTGGCCCCCCTCTACACCCCACTTGTATATCCTCCTTGTCACATCAATCCTTATAAATGCTGTATACCCCACCCAAGAAGGTCTCATACAGCCAGGCCCTGGTGGCTCACACCTATAATCCTAACTACTCAGAAGGCTTCTTAGGCTTGAACTCCAGTCCTGAGTGCTCTTCAGCTCAAGGTGAGCACTTTACCACTGGAGCCACAGCACCACATCCTGTTTTCTGGTGGTTAATTGGAAATAAGAGTCTCACGGACTTTCCTGCCTGGGCTGGCTTTGAACCATGATCCTCAGATCTCATACTCCTGAGTAGTTAGGCCTGAGCCACCAGCACCTGGCTTTCAGAAGGCTTCTTGCACTCAAGGCTAGTGCTCTACCACTTGAGCCACACCTCTAGTTCTGGCTTTTCGATGGTGAATCGAGTGAGTTAATCAAAGTCACAGACTTTTCCTACCTGGGGTTGGCTTTGAGCCTTGAGCCTCAGATCTCAGCCTCCTGACTAGCTAGGGTTACAGGCATGAATCACAGTGCCCATCTCTTGAGATGCTTTTTTAAATTGTTATAAAGGTGATGTACAGAGGGATTACAGTTATGTAAGTAATGAGTACATTTCTTTTTGGATAATGTCACCCATTCCCTTGCTCTCTCCTTGTTTTTCCCTCACTTGAGCTGCTTTTTATACCAGGGTCTTGGTGATAAGGGGGTGGGGGGTAGATGATGATGCTGGAAATTCAAAACATGATGGCTCCCTAGACAAGACCAGAACAGCTTCCGGTTCCTGTTCTCTCCTGCACTAAAAGGCTGACAGCCTGTTAGCGCATGCAGGTGCCTGAACTCCCTGCCCTGCCCTGGGGGCCTGGAGCCAGCGTTCATGGGGAGAGGCACCTGTTTATCATCAGAAACTTACTCCAATCCACTAGATGCAGGCAGATGAGAGGCTGGAGCTATGCGTGTGAGC